TATTTTTTAGTGTACAGTTCTGTGGTATTAAGTAAATGTATATTTGCAATGGTTTTTGTCTCCAAAAATAAAACATATTAATATGTAAAAAGATGGTATTAAAACATGTGTAAAGTAAATAAACTTCAAATTCAAGAGAGTGATCATGGGAGAAGCGGGGTAGAAGGGAAAAGGGAGAAATATAAAGGGGTTTAAGTTTTATCTAGGATGTTTTTTTCTCTTCAAAAAAAAAAAATCAAATATGGCGAAATATTAAGACTTGACCGAACTGGTAAGTATATAGGTGTTTCTTACATGATTTACTATACTTTTATGTATTCTTTCAAAACTTTATATTTTGCCCACATGTTAGACTTACACAGAAGTCGCAAACACAGATTCCATCCATCCCCCCAACCCACTCCCTCTAATATCAACATCTTGTGCACCCAGTACAACGATTAGACCAGGAGATTAACTTTGATAGAATACTATTAACTAAAATAAAGAACATAATGAAATCACTCTATTTTTTCCATTGATGTTCTTTTCCTGTTCTACAATAGCATGTGCACTAGTAGTTATTTCTCCTTGGTATTCTGTAGTCTTTGACAGTTTTTCAGTCTTTCCTGGTCTTTTATGACCTTGACACTTGTCAGCTCCTTTGACGAATGTCTCACAATTGGGGTTTGTCTGATACGGTCTCATTCTCAGGCTGAGATTATACATTATGGGTAAGACTATCACAGAAGTGGTGCTGTGTCCTTAGTGTATATCAGTCAGTGATAACTTTTCATATGGCTAAAATATTTCATAATTTCAAAAGATAAAAAAATGCAGCCAAATTAGTTTCTCCTGACAAACAGGACCACTGACTTCACCCCCCAGGATTAATCTCGGTCCCCAACCACTCATCAGAGTTGTGGCCACTTGCCAGCTGTTGGGTAAGAATATACAGTTTCTCCCCAACTTCAACTCTTGAAACAGAGTTGCCTCAGACAATCCTTTTTAACAGAACCTAAAGTTTAAACCAATACAACAGTGAAAAACTTGAGTCCCGGCAAGCTTTAAATGTAACCTTATTAAATGGAAATAAAGACAAAAAAATATTTGGAAAAGATCTTAAGCAACTGATAAATTCCAATGAGTTGAGGTTCTTTTAAGTCAAACCTGTGTTTCTTGGCTTTTTTCCTGTGTGTGTGTGTGTGTGTGTGTGTGTGTGTGTGTGTTTAAATCCATGCCTCTTTTTTGACCAATGCAAAACCTTATGTTTTCTTTCAATGCTATTTAAAACTTGGAATTAAAAAACAAAAACAAAAACAAAAACAAAACCAGACCAAAGGAAATCTAATCAATATTTATTTAAGAATATACTTGTTCAGGGGTGCCTGAGTGGTTCAGTCGGTTGAGCATCCAACTTCGGCTCAGGTCATGATCTCACAGCTCGTGGGTTCAAGCCCTTGCATTGGGCTCAACTCGGAGCCTTGAGCCTGCTTCACATTCTGTGTCGCCTTCTCTCTCTCTCTGCCCCTCCCACACTTGTGTTTTCTCTCTTTCAAAAATAAACAAACTTAAAAACAAACAAACAAAAAAAAGAATATACTTGTTGCAAGTACACATGTGCTTTGTCTCTAGGAAACTGAGTAGGTGCCCTATTCCCGTCCTGGAAACCACTGAACAGACCTGAAAGCAGTATCGTATAGCCTCACAGTTTAGACTAAACTGGGGTTATTGTAACTAATTTACCAAGATAATTTTGCTCATAGAAAAGTTTTTTTGGTTTAGTCTATGCACCCAAGAGCCTTTGATCCTACATGACCCACATTTGGAAACAATGAAAGATTTACTACTTCTACCTATGAGTTACCTACTGAGAACACTATAGCCATGAGGGCTAAGGGTCATTTAGTCCTCACTGGGAGCTATAATCTGATCAATTCTCAAATAATTTCATGACGCCATTGGAAAGGGAAGAACTCATGAGAGTGGTGAAGGAAAGAGCAGCCTGGGAGGTGAGAGGCTTGGTCAACAAAAAGGAGGCTGCTTCCAATTCCAGAAGGACCAAGAGACCTCATGTTATTGGAGGCAGTTAACAGAACTGGTCAGAGATCCTGGTAACAGAACTGGTATTTAAAAATGCAGACTTACAAACTTTCACTCTTAGCAGATGACATGATACTCTACATAGAAAACCCGACAGACTCCACCAGAAGCCTACTAGAACTGATCCAAGAACTCAGCCAAGTTGCAGGGTACAAAATCAACGTACAGAAATCGGTTGCATTTTTATACACCAATGATGAAGCAACAGAAAGAGAAATCAAGAAACTGATCCCCTTCACAATTGCACAAAAAACCATAAAATACCTCGGAATAAACCTAACCAAGGATACAAGAGATCTGTATGATGAAAACTATAGAAAACTTATGAAGGAAATTGAAGAAGACACAAAGAAATGGAAAAACATTCCATGCTCATGGATAGGAAGAATAAATATAGTTAAGATGTCATTACTACCTAAAGCACTCTACACATTCAATGCAATTCCAATCAAAATTGCACCAGCATACTTCTCAAAACTAGAACAAACTATCCAAAAATTTGTATGGAACCACAAAAGACCCCGAATAGCGAAAGTAATACTGAAAAATAAAACCAAAACGGGAGGTATCACCATCCCAGACTTCAGCCTCTACTACAAAGCTGTCATCCTCAAGACAGTATGGTATTGGCACAAAAACAGACCCATAGACCAATGGAACAGAATTGAGAACTCAGAAGTGGACCCAAAAGTATACAGCCAACTGATCTTTGACAAAGCAGGAAAGAATATCCAATGGAAAAAAGACAGCCTTTTTAACAGATGGTGTTGGGAGAACTGGACAGCAACATGCAGAAGAATGAAACTAGATCATTTTCTCACACCATGCACAAAAATAAACTCAAAATGGATAAAGGACCTGAACGTGAGACAGGAAACTATCAACACCCTAGAGGAGAAAGCAGGAAACAACCTCCTTGACCTCCACCGCAGCAACTTCTTACTTGACACATCCCCAAAAGCAAGGGAATCGAGAGCAAAAATAAACTGTTGGGACCTCATCAAAACAAAAAGCTTCTGCAAAGCCAAGGAAACAACCCAGAAAATTAATAGGCAACCAACGGAATGGGAAAAGATAGTTGCAAATGACATATCAGATAAAGGGTTAATATCTAAAATCTATAAGGAACTCACCAAACTCCACGCCCGAAAAACAAACAACCCAGTGAAGAAATGGGCAGAAGACATGAACAGACACTTCTCCAAAGGGACATCCAGATGGCCAACAGACACATGAAACGATGCTCAGCATCCCTCCTCATCAGGGAAATACAAATCAAAACCACACTGAGATACCACCTCACGCCAGTCAGAGTGGCTAAAATGAGCAAATCAGAGAACTCTAGATGCTGGCGAGGATGTGGAGAAACGGGCACCCTCCTGCACTGTTGGTGGGAATGTAAACTGGTACAGCCCCTCTGGAAAACAGTGTGGAGGTTCCTCAGGAAACTAACAATAGAACTCCCTTATGACCCAGCAATAGCACTGCTAGGAATTTACCCAAGGGATACAGAAATGCTGAGGCATAGGAGCACATGTACCCCAATGTTCATAGCAGCACTCTCCACAATAGCTAAAACATGGAAAGAGCCTAAGTGTCCATCAACAGATGAATGGATCAAGAAGATGTGGTTTATCTATACCATGGAATACTACATGGCAATGAGAAACAATGAAATCTGGCCATGTGGAGCAACATGGATGGACCTTGAGGGTGTTATGATGAGTGAAATAAGTCAGGCAGAGAAGGACAAATACCATATGTTTGCACGTATAGGAGGATTAGGAGGAACTTGACGGAGGAACAAGGGGGAGAAGAAGGGCGGAAATGGTGGGGGAAAGGGAGAGAGGCAAACCATGAGAGACTCTTGAATGCTGACAAAAACTGAGGACTGATGGATGTGGGGGGGAGGGGGGGATGGGCATGAAGGAGGGCACTTTGGGGATGAGCACTGAGTGTTATGTAGAAACTAATTTGACAATAAACTATTTGTAAAAAAATAAATAAATAAATAAATAAAAATAAAATAAAATAAAAATGCAGACTTAATCTTGCAATAAGGCAAAAGCTTAGATGGGGAACTCCAAGAAGAAAATGGTATAAACCTACTGATCCCATTCTCACGAAAGCCAACCAGTAACACCCATGCTGCCCAGTCCATTGGAAGTTTTGAGTTAATCAAGCCAAGTATTTCAATATATTTTGAATTACCTGGAAGAATGCCTAATAACTGAATACCACCATCCTGAGGACAGCCTCACAGGAAAACTCCCCAGTTCTTTAACAAGAGAACAAGGGTGGAAGGCCTTCTGATTGGTTCTCACTGGCTCACCTTTACCTCACCATACTTGATCTCCCACACAGTCGGCTGTTTGTCACCCAAGTGTCATTGCTCAAGCTGTCCCCTCTCTGGAAGGCCCTCTCCCTGGACCCCTACCACTTTTGACTCCACTATCTTGTACTCCCCCATAAATGCTCAGATCAGAAGTCATCTCCTCCAGAAGTCCTTTCCTGATACCCCCACCCCAATCTCACCGTGGCTGCAAGAGGCCCCTCCTTTTATTCTCCCATGACATTATTTTTAAGTCCTGTGCTACATGCACCATTCTGTCCTACAACTGGCTGTTTATGTGCATCTCACCAAACAGGATCTGAACTCCCTTAAGACAGGAACTATCTTACACGCCCACAGGACAGGAACCGCCATCACGTTTGTCCTTCTGCCCTCAGGAGGGATCCTCTTCAGCTTGGGAGGAGATGGGCACAGAATAGTTTAGAAGCAAGGGGACAGCTCTTGTGGCTTTCTATCCCTTTTCCCCCCTCTTTCCACATTTCTGACTATACCTTGGGTCCTTGGGTTGCCATAGTAACCAACAGTCTCAGAACACAGACTTCTGGCAGTTGAACCTGTAGCCTCTGAGAGTTGGGATCTGAAGGATTTTTAACATCCCCAGTTTATGGCTCAGGAGCTGGCAGCGCCTTTTTCATGTGGGGAGCCACCTGAGGAGGGCATGACAGAGTGTGCGTGTGTGTGTGTGCATGCATGCATGTGTGCACACTGTTCTTCCACCCCCACTTACCTACTGGGGGCACCACAAAAAAAGCTGGACTAAAAAGTGCCAACAGATGGTGGGAAGATGGGCAACAAAATGCTATAACCTTTCTGGAAAGCATTTGATATCAATTACCAGAAACCTTTAATATGTCTATGATCTTTGATCCATTAAAGCCACACAGATATAGACAGAGAGAAACCCAAAGATTTATTGACAAGGATGATCATCAATAAAGTGGAAAAAAATGACAGAATAGCCATATATACGTTTACTCTAGGGGATGCTATAAAATATAAGAACCTCACTTTCAACAGCTGATGTGACATCCACTTAGATATGTATATGTGTGTACAGATACGTACAAATACACATGTACACGTGTACAGATAAGAAAGGGAAGTCCACCAAAATGTTGTCAGTGATGGTTACCAATATCTCTAGACAGTGGGATCATAAACATATGTAATTTCACCTTTATACTTCTCTGTGTTTTTCAAATTTTATACAATGATCATTTTTTCTTTTATAATTCAAGTTCTTTCAACTGTAGCAAGACAGATGATGAGTAGTATCAGGTGGAGAGGATTAGTAGAAAGGGTTGTTATACAAAGAAATTTTTTCGGGGGGGGGGGGTGGCCTTTTCTGCCCTTCATTAAAGAATACAAAAATAGGATGAAATTCTACCAGAATAGGATAGTTACAAATAGAAAATGGAATGAATAATGTTATTGCTCAAGTATCAGAACTTCCCTCTTCTTCTCCCCTAATCCCATCTTTTTTTTTTCTTTCTTTAAAGGATTCCCATATATTTTTTTTCTTTCTTTCTTTCTTTAAAGGATCCCTGAGACGAGAGAGACCTAAGGCTGGAGCGCTTCAACTCCATGGCACACTCCTCCTCCAGCAGCGATGGAACTACCACCACAGACTGGAGCTCTGAATCAAACCTGAGCCTCTCTGTGGGCTATTTCCCCTGCGAAGACACCTTCTCCTACAAGAACCCCTTCTCCCATGAAGACACATCTTCCAAGGGTCCTTCAATCCTTGACCCCCCTATTCAAGGGACATGGAGGACTGAAAGTACAGGCAGACTCCTGAGGAGACGAGACCAAATTCAGGACGACCCAAAGCAATTTTGCAAACTAAGCATCACGCTGGCCTGGGACGTTGATGAGGGCTCTAACAGTTCAGACTCCATAGCTAATTGGGACATAAATGGAGTCAACTGGTGGGTAGACAAGTGCCCCGAAGAGAACACACAACTGACTCTCAGCAAACTGGACAGTCTTATGCAAAAGCTAGAGAAACTTCTGAAAAATCAAAAAGCCAATGAAGAGGACTCTGCATTCCCTGAATCTGCTCCAAAGGAAGATCTCCAATTGCTCAGCAGTTCCCCTCCAGATGGAGCTCAGGTCAGTCATCAAGAACATGATACTTGCCGATACTTGCCCAACCCCTGCCAGCACAGAGAGACCAGCCAGTTTCCACACACCCCTCCAAGACTTCAGGAACGCAAACTTACTGAGGTGAGCACAGAGGTGCCCCACAGGCAAGAAGGGAACAGGCCTGGTTGGGGTGGGGGGTACCAGTTTGGAACATGGAGTATTACTACCTGGTCTGAAGCAGGGCCACATCCCCTCAGTGTCTGACAGGCCAGGAAAGGGAGGGAGAAGGCTAACACCAAGGAAAGGGGTCAGGGTGGAGCTGACGGGGAAATATTGAGGAGCAGTGAAGGAGAAAAGAGGGTAGGAAATTTAAGAAAAAACTAACATTGTTTACGTATGTGTTTAAGTATTAATGAGGATTTAAATTTTGCATTTACGTGGCGGGGGGTGGAGGTCTGGGTGGCTCAGTCGGATAAGCATCCAACTTCAGGTCATGCTCTCACGGTTCCTGGGTTCGAGCCCTGTGTTGGGCTCCTGCTGACAGCTCAGAGCCTGGAGCCTGCATCAGATTCTATGTCTTCCTCTCTCTCTTTGCCCCTCCCTGCTCCTGCCCTGTCTCTCAAAAATGTATAGATATTAAAAAAAAAAAAATCTTTGCATTTACAGTTGGATTATTTTTGATAAAAGGATTTCAATTCCATGAATGGGTAGGTATCGGTCCCGCTGTTGTCCAGATTATATGTCTTTAGTCATTCATCGTCTTGGCAGATGACAAACCAGGCAACTCGCAGCCAGAGGACAAGAAGCACTCTAGACACGTCCTCAGTCTCATCGGATCAGCCAGAGAAGGATGCTCATGCCAGCACACGGGCCGCCTCCTGCGTGAACTTGAGGTGGGTCTTCCGCTGGCTGAGGGAGCAAGTCCTCTTTTCACTTCTCAGGAGACAACACCCGGAGGAGGCCACTGAGCGCTGTTATCAGCTGGCACAAAAGAGAAGACTCTCTCACAGAAGCAAGAGAATCCAACCCCAAGATTCCCCTGAATTAGGACACTATCGCCAGATTCTTTAACTTTCGGATAGCCTCTAGTCTACAATCCCCATGAGTTTTTTTCCAATAAACACAACACATGTTCTTATTAGTCATGTCTTCCTCCATCCAGCTCACCATCCTGATTCAGGCTGAACGTACAGATGTGGTCTAGAAGACTGAGATATATTCTCTGCGAATTTTAAGTAGTAGTATCCTTCCTAACTTGCCTTCAAGCTTTTTTTTCTTTTTCCCTCCTCTGCCCCCCATTCTTACTGTATTTTTACCCTCTTATTTTTTAATATTTTAACCTATATTAATATTAACCCAAATGCCCATTTTCAGGAGGCAGCAGTATAACCCATCAGATTCCCAAGATGGTAGTGTGGTTTGGGTTGAACTTCAAGGGCTCAAGCAAGTGGCAGAGGATACTGAGTCATTCAGGAAGCGGAGTTCAATTGGCGGTGTTTCAGGAATTCAGACGGCGGATCTGATGTTCCCTGGGGACCTGACTGGGTCTAGATTGTGCCGTGTTGGCTAGAGTAAGTGGCCCACTCAGGAGGAATGTGAGGACTGGGGGTGCTACTTAGCCACTCCAGGTCTAACCCTCCTCATTCATATGATGAGAAGGATACCTCACTGGGTTGTTGTGAGAACTGATGAGATAAAGCAAGCACTTTATTGATACATAATTTTGCTGTAGCTGTGGATATTCATCCTCCGGAGGATCTCCCCAGAAACCTCAAGCCATGGGACATCCAAGAGTGAGAGCTTAAGAGTAATTCTCACTGAAATATTTCCCACACAGGAGCAATATTTACCAAAAGGTATGGGTTTCAGAAGATCTTGATTCAACCAAGTCCTGTTACAGCCCCTTCCCCACCGTATTGTGTACGACGGCTTTGCAAATGTCATTAAACTTTCCTCCAAATCTCAACTTCTTTAAGGTAGGCTGTGCTCACCTCTCAACCTTTTGCCCTGATCTCTCCTTGTTACTGTTATCAATTCACTTCCCCAGGACCACTACCTCCTCCTTATTCACCCACATACTTACCCAAGAACCTGCCCCTTCTATCAGCTTATGACCCTCCAGAGTTCCTGTGCTTACAGCATATGAGTCTTTGGCCTCAAATTCCTCCCTTCCCTCAACTGAAACTCCCTTTTCTCCTTCTTTCTTCTCTTTTTCCCTTCCTTCCACAAATATTTAGCACATAGAAGTTCCAAGCACTTTTCTAACTTACTAAACCATCCTTGGGCTCAGGAGGCTTATTATTTAAGAAATAAAGCCATGCAGGGGCACCTGGGTGGCTTAGTCGGCTAAGCGTCCGACTTTCGCTTGGGTCATGATCTCGCGGTTCGTGGGTTCGGGCCCCACGTCGGGCTCTGTGCTGACTGCCAGCTCGGAGCCTGGAGCCTGTTTCAGTCTGTGAATCCCTCTCTCTCTGACCCTCCCCTGCTCACGCTGTCTCTCTCTCTCTCTCTCTCCTAGAAATAAATAAAACATTAAAAAAAAAAAAAATAAAGCCATGCAAACATGACTATAAAAAGATTATGGGTGATAACTAGTCTGTATAAAATACTCACTGAACACTACAAAATAATTCAACATAAAGAGGTTGATTTTAAAAGGTTTCATATATAAGGTTGCTTGAGTTATAAATGTGGCTAGTTTAAGGTAGAAGACTTTTTTTTAATGTTTATTTGTTTGAGAGGGAGCAAGCAAGGGAGGGGAAGAGAGAGAGGAAGAGAGAGTATCCCACGCAGGCTCTGTAGCTATCAGCACAGAGCCCAATGCAGGGATCGAACCCATGACGGATCATGACCTGAGCTGAAACCAAGGGTTAGAGGCTTAATAAGGTGGAGGACTTTACCCTGCTGGATAAGTGAGTGTGGCACTAAAGCGTGCATTTCAGGCTGGTTATGTGTGAGAGACACTGGGGACGATATTGCCCAAGGCCAACAGCACAATGGGAAGGAAAGACTCAAATAGGGCCTTCTCAGCAATATATGCTCACGGTCACATCCTGAGTTTCTTCACAGGCAGCCTCCTCACTTTATCCACTTCTCTGAGAATATCTTCCCATCTGACTAACTCACTCGAACATGCTGCTCCACCTCCACTCGCTCTTTGACTTCACCACAACTTTAAGTACCATTACCGCACCTGTTCATGATTTTCATTCCCTTCCTTCCAGCTTCCCCCATGCACTGCTTCCCAAACTGCAGCATATCCACCACATCGGGTAGCATTCACGATGTGCTGCCCTTTCCAGATCTTCATCTATATTCACCGCATTCCCCAAAAGGACACCCATACTTCTCATAGGGGCCAACACATAGAACACGGAGTTTACCTTCTCCATCCCCTGGAGGATGCCTCCTCATTGCCTTTTCAAGTTCCCCCACTGCCTGGGGAATCTGCCCTTAAAGATGTGGCTCTCAGGTTACTATAAAGTCAAGAACGATGCTTCCAGGTGTAGCTGGCCGTGCCCTTCCTTAAGCTGTTCCCCAGGCCCCTTCCTGCCACCCTCATACCATGACTTGTACTTTTCAGTACTCTATCCAAATATTTTACCTACAAACCAACTTCTTAGTTCCTTTTTACTGTTACAGTGTCTGGTACAGAGTGGTCTGTCTTTACATCATTTTTTAAACGATTTGACTATATCCTATTTCTTTAAACTTTCTCCTATACAATTTTTTTGGAAAGTGAAATACAACAGCTTAGAGTTGTTAATTAAGTTAAAAGTTAGGGCGAGCAGGGTTAAGGGCAGGAATGGGAGGAGAAAGCGAAGAGACTGGAAGAAAACGGCAACCCGTGAAAGACCAAGAGAGGCGGTGACCTGCAGACTGAGAAACCTAAGATCAGAGGAATTGAGCAACAAGTATGAAACGTTAATTCAACAAATAAACATGGAGCCTCAATGTTGCCTTAGACTAGATGTATGATATGCCTAAAAGATGACCTCTTCTATCATCAGGGCGCTTGTAACCAGAGCTCTGGTATTTTCCCTCTTTCTCTAGTAGTTAAGTCGAACTCTAAGAAAAACTCAAACACAATGAGCTACTTCAAAAGACTGCCCACAGTGAATAAGAAGCCCTGTTCATTAGCAAGACATCTTACATATCTGTGCTTAATTCTTGGTGTTCTAATAAACCTGCTTGACAGGTATGAACCTATCTCTAAAATTCAAACAATGTATTTCATAAGCCTTTACAACAAATATTCTTTGTAAAGAATTCAAATTCTACATATTCTTTGGGGTTATCATGCTACATCTCAGAGACCAAGTCCACGTGTTTAAAAAATAGGAATATTTGAACACCTCCTTGTTCATCATCGTGTCAAATATGCTGTGAAGCTATTAGCTACATGCCAAACTATGACCAGGTTCTCTGCTTTATGTCACATTAGTGGGGCTGGGGCTGGAAGAGACCCACTTATAAATCAAAAGGACCAAGAGCAAAATGGAAATGGTCACTGAAAGATCCAATCTTTGCTATAACCTCAAGCTAGAATGATTGCACTTACCAGACTCATGCTAAACGACTTAACCAATAAATTTTGGGATCGCATTATCTCAAAACGAAAACCATTCCTTCAAGTGAACTACTCAACCTTGAACCCCATACAGCTCAGTTGCTTGAACTAGTGTTAAGCATTCATATTCTAGAATCTACAACATCATTATGAGCCAGAATACAGTGAAAGCTTATCAAGAAATGTAGAGTATTCAGCTCCCTCCACACACAGAATAGGATAGACTAATGTAAATTGTATAGACCACCCCATGTCGATTTCTTACTCAGCAGGATCCCCATGAGAGAAAAGTGTGTGTACCATACCAGCAAATCAAGGGCAAAACCATTTTCTCCAGACTTAAAGAACAGAATGTTCAAGTTCCTGGCTCCGGAGGACGCAAAGGTCTACATATACCTGGTCACAAAAACAGTGCCCCAAATCCTCTTAACAAAGAAAGAAAAACTGACACAAATTCTACATGATTCATAAGACTGCCTGGTAAGGTCTATACCCTAATAGTTAAGAACGATTTTGTTCAGGCAGGAGGGGTAGCTAACTGCTTCAAAAATAAGCCTTCATTATGAGTGTCAAGTGGAAGAAATTCTACTTCATGCAGTAGACTCTCTAATTTCAGAATGGATGGGGAGGGTTTATGTTGCACTGCCTAGAGTCTTTTCCTGCTACCCTCTCAGACCCCAACAAAGAGAACAACACCCTGCTTTCAAAAGTGAAATAAGATCCTCATCAGATAACACCGAATCACTGAGTGAGCCAGTCATGAGTCCTGTGGGTACAAAAGCCTCAGGATAAATTCCCAAAAGGATTATAAACCTAGATCAAGAAATCCCCCTACTGAACAATTTGTTTACTATTCCACCTTTCTAAGGAATTCCATGGTTTTGATGCCCTTTGGATTTCAATCGAATACGCTTCATACAGAAAGACTTGTGAGGCATTTTCAAATGGGAGGGCAAACATCAAATATCTATTCAGATTGTGGCTGTTGAATGAATCTTCATCTCATTATTGCTCAATTCTCTTAGTCTAGAAGGAAATCAAATGGCAATTTAACTTCATTTTTCCTTACCTGCATCATTTATTGATAATAATAATAATCTTTATGATTACTGTGCGTGTGGTTCTCCAAAACTAAAGAGATCTCTCCCTCCTCATGCACCCACTCACAAAGGAAAACACTGGCCATATTCATTGTTAATACAGGTTTAGAGAGTCATTTTTCTCTTTCCCTCTAATCAACTCCACTACCATCTGTCTTTGGGGCCTAGATTTTCCCCAAACAGGGATGGGGATGAAAAGGAGACTTTTTTTCCAGTAATCAACAATTCAGTTAGTACTCTACTGCAACCATCATGGTAATAACGGATTCACATAGGAATCAACAATGAATGCCAGCACTGGCTGGGATGAACACCGGGTATTGTATGCAAGTGCCATATCCCTAAATTGTACTGTACTGTACTGTACGTTAACTGGAATTTAAATAAAAACTTTTAAAAATGCTAAAACCATTGGGTGAATAACCACTGGAGAACAAGACATGCACACAGTCTCTAAGGAGGAACCAGCATAGTAGTACTTATCAAGGGGATTAGGTACTCCTCCATTGGAGGAGCACCAGTGAACACCATTTTCACCAAGTTGAAATTAGCCTAACCAACATCACTGCCTTCAGAAGAGAAGCACTGACTGCTGCTAGCAATGTGTGTTTATCCTGAATCTAATCATGAGGAAAGCAACAAACAGATGAATATAAGGTGTTCTTCTAAAGAGCCATCTTAGACCATCCAAACATGTTAACATCATGAAATACAAAATAAGAAAAAGCAAAAACAGTTCAGGGAGACAAGACAGTTCACAAAGGAGACCAAAGATTCATGATGACCAACTGCTATTCATAACCCTTCACTGAATCCTTGACCAAATTCTCAAATCTATGATAAAACACATTTTTCAAATAGTTAGAGAAATCTGAATATAGACTGTAAATTAGATCATTTTATCAGGTATAGTAAGAATATTATGGCTACATAGAAGAATGTCCTTGATTCTTAGGAAATTAAGAGTGAAGTAATATGGTATCTGCAACTTACTTTCAAATGGACCAGGAAAAAAAAAAAAAAAAAAAAACAGAAATATAAGATGAGAAAG